CCTCTGAGGAGAGTAGCAGCGAGGGGCAGTCGAGCGGCGAGGGCAGGAAGTCAGCATATTCCGTGAAGAAGTGAGGCCGCTTGGAGCCGTACGCGTCCTCCCGCCCACGCGAGGCGGGTGAGGAGTTGAGTGCCAGGAGCAGCAGACACGCCAGTCGGAGGTCCCAGTTGGCCTGAAAACGGGAGGTAAGGATGTGCGAGAGAGTTTCTAAGGCGCCTGAATGATTGTTGGCGCCGTTCCGGGCACGAGATGCAGGTGAGGAGTGGTGCGCGAGGAGGAGAAGGCAGGCCAGTCGGAGGTCCCAGTTGGGGTGGGAGGGGAAGAGGGGGAGTGCGGGAGAGAACAACATCATGGGAGAGTGAGGAAGGGGAAAGAGTATATGAGTGTAGCGCGACAAGGAGCAGGCAGGTCAGACACAAGTCCCAGTTAACCTGGGGAGACGTGGCAGGAAGAAAGGCAACCCGCCCCCCAGCCAGCCCCCCCCCCCCCCCCCCCCCCAACTCCTCCCTCCCCCATCACCACCACCATCCCCATGACCACCACCACAACCCCCCACTAATCCCATTCATCTCACCTCCCCCTCGGCAGCAGAAATCACATCAAACACAGGGTGCCCCATGGGGACAATGTCTGGGTGGAACATCCAGGGGGGGTCCCTGGACACGGACAGCATGAGCGGCAGAGGCACCTCCATCACCACGCGCGCGCCCCCCCGGCTGTCTATGTCCCTTGCAGCGTACACCCCCACGCCCGCCAGGTCGCCCTCCCCCTGCAGCCCGTTGGCGGGCTCTTTGAACTCCACCCCATACGCGCCCATGCCACGCCGGTTGCCCATGTAGTAGAAGTAGGGCTCGAGGGACACGCGCTGCTGACGGAAGAGTGTTGGAAGGGGGAGTGCGAGGAAGGGGAAGCATAAAGGGGGGTTGAGGAAAGGGAGAGGGCACGCCAGGTCGCCCTCCCCCTGCAGCCCGTTGGGCGGCTCGCGGAATTCCACCCCGTGCGCGCCCATGCCCCGGCGATTGCCCATGTAGTAGAAGTAGGGCTCAAGTGAGACGCGCTGGTGGGAGGGATGCAGAAGAGAGAGGGGGTGGCCAGGGGGAGGGGGGGGGGAGAGTGGGGGAGGAAGAGGGGAGGAGCAGAAGGGAGTGGGGATGTTGAGGGTTGCCCGTGTCGTGAAAATACGGCGCAAGGGAGGAGCGCTGGTGACCGGAGAGGGGGGGGGGGGGGGGGGGGGGGGGGGAGAGAATGGCGCATAAATGGAAAGGAGAGGGGAGAGGGGAGAGGAGAGAGGGGAGAGGGGAGGGGGGAGAGGGGAGGGGGGAGGGGGAAGGAGAGGGGGAGGAAATGGGGGCGGAGTGGTAGGGGAAGAGGTTCCGAGGAGGATAAGGTGCGCCGCTAAGTTTTCCTGCGAAGCGCGGCGAGCGAGCACGGAGGACATGGTGCGGCGATAAATGGTTGTTCGGAGCTGCGACAGAAAATATTCGTCGCAATGTGTCGCAGGGTTACCTCATCTGATGAGCTGGTGGAAGGAGGCAGGAAATTGGCGGGAGCGGCGGAGTCGGCGACGCGTGCGACGGTTCGAAAGCCTTTCGCCAAACTCTTTCGCAAAGGTACTGTCGCGTGCGAAAAGCATTGCGGCAATCGCAGGAGTGGTGGAATTACTCGGATCGGCCGTGCGTGCAGCGAAGAGATGAGCGGAGCCATCGCGATAATCTCGAGGATGATGGGCAGCAACGGGCAGGTACATGCGCGACGAAACTTGTCAACGCAATAAACGAGGCTCGGTTTTTGGGTTGTGTAGCAACCCTATAAAAATGGTTTCAAATCTTGGGAATATCATTCATAAGGTTTTTTGGTTGTTTAGCAACCCTATACATTTGGTAGCACTTTCCGGTCGACTCAAATTAACAGTACAGTTTTTGTCATTTTCCCAACGTTTGAAGCCCTCGTTTTAACGTTTTGAGAACGAGTGCTCCTACGTTGTGGAGATGACGGAAGCACTGATAACATAAGAGTCTCCCCAAAAGTGAAACCAAATGTGGCCTTTCATTTCATAATCGTCGATAAATACGACGAATGGAGCAATTGGTCATCACGTTTTTACACCCAACACAACGACGAAAGAACATCCAATAGACGTAAATACGGGTCATGTGCTTTTATTGAACATGTGTCATGTGCAAAAACAACGCACAACAACTACGAGTGAACACCAAAATGCATCGGTGCTACAACAGAGATGGTTCCGGTATGCTAAGGCGAGCAACGCTTGTCAGAGGTCCACTGGAGATTCCCGATTGATCCTAGGGAAGGGTTACAGGCACGTTGGCCTGGGGGGTTATGGGCGCACTCACCCGCTACACAAACAAGCCCTTTTATCCCAGTGGTTAGTGACTGGGATTCTGACATGGTATCAGAGCGAAGGTCTCGGGTTCGAATCCCGGTGTATGCACCTCGGGCATCCCAGTGCGGGAGGGTGTCAGAGGTCCACTGGAGATCCCCGATTGATCCTAGGGAAGGGTTACAGGCACGTTGGCCTGGGGGGTTATGGGCGCACTCACCCGCTACACAAACAAGCCATTTTATCCCAGTGGTTAGTGACTGGGATTCTGACAACGCTGCCCCAACAACGATCCCCACCTCAAATGCAGACCCGACACACTTTAACATCATTCCCCCAAAAAGAGACAAGAAGCAAAAGATAACGACGATGATAACACACATTGTACGACACTGGAAAACATAAGTACTCAAAGAAGGTGGAAACTAACATTTATTACGCAAAAGACAAACGATTAACGATATCATACCCCAACGGTGATAAGGTGAATGATGAAATGCAACGGTGCTACAACAGAGATGGTTCCGGTATGCTAAGGCGAGCAACGCTGCCCCAACAATGATCCCCACCTCAATTGCAGACCCGACACATTGTAACATCACACCCCAAAATGACATATCAACAAAACGTAACAAGGACGATACAACACACATACTGTATGACAATTGAAAACATACGTACTTCATGAAGGTGGAAAACGACTTTAAAGAAAAGGATGACGGCACAAGGTGATGCATACAAATATAGTTATGATGTATCAAAGGTGTAAAGAATTATTGCTAGTCACTCCGTCCTCGCCCCAATTATGTTTTCCTTCCATTGCCCTCTTCCTCCCCCTTCCCTTTCCACCCGCCATTTTCATATTCATTCTCTTCCATTCCTTTTGCTTGCAGCATTAGACCCTTATGCCCTGCAAAATATAAAACCAAGAATACAAATGCATCAAAATTAAAACATGAGGATTGATTTGACACATGCACGCACACGTATAAACACGCATACTCATGTATACATATTCAGATAACCGCACACTTACAATCAAACTTTTGCAACACCTTTTCCACCCTGCACAGAGAGCAGAGCCAGATACAAGTACAGAAAGTGGAATTAATTCTTAAACTCCGATAGAGGTTAATCCTAATTGGGTTGTACCCCTTATAGGCTACCCCACTACAGCCTACACAAACATCATTATAGTTTGACACACCCCCATAGGCAAAGTGGGAGAGAACAAGTGGTCACAAGACTAGTTAAAAAAAGCAAAGAAAGCTCAGGGTGGATCACGAAGTCACCACACATTCTGAGCACAAGCAAATGGCCACAAGGCCAGTTCACTACCTAGCAAACAGTACAGTGATCACTACCTAGCAAGAGTAAACATGCAAGTATATATATAGATCACAGTACAAGCAAAGTCACGAAGTGAGCAAGTGAGACGAAGCAGGCACAAGGCCTAGAGCAGTACAGAAGCGCTGATGATCACCAGGCGGAAGTGCCTTGGTGAATATATCAGCAGTGTTGGCCCGAGTGGCCACGTAAGCAAGACGAAGCTGACCACGCTGCTGCAACTCTCGAGCAAGGAAGTAACGCAGAGCGATGTGCTTTGTTCTGTGCTCCAGTCTGTGCTCCTAACACAAGGCAATAGCGGCCTTGTTGTCGACGTACAGAACTGGAGGAGAACGAGGCCGCTCTCCCAAGTCGGTCAGCAGGTAGGTCAGCGAATGTAACTCCTGTGCAGCCATGGCTCTTGCGCAGATCTCAGCCTCACAACTGGAGCTGAGAACAGAAGACGAACAGGTAGACCGCCAAGAAACAGATCTGGAGCCAAGGCTGAACGTGTAACCCTGTGACGACCGCTGCGTAGCCAGGTCGTCAACCCAAGACGCGTCAGAGTGTCTAGTGAGGACAACGTCACCCCGTCCTCCAAGCACGAGCCCCATGCCCGATGTACTGCACAGGTAGCGCAGTACCCTCTTCGCAGCATCCCAGTGCACCTTTCGGTGTCTACTGGGAGCCACCTAGCGTGCCAGGATGCTAAGAGGGTATGCAAGGTCAGGACAAGTGCAGGTCATCAGGTACATGAGGAAGCTCACAAGCTCTGCATACGGGCCGCTCGGCTCTACGGACTCGTCCGAAGGTGGAGCTGAGAGTGAGTGACCGGTAGGCAGAGGAGTGGACTATGGCGAGGACCAAGTGAAGCCGAAGCGCTGAAGGACCTGATGCACCATGTGTGACTGAGTCAGGGTGATGGTGCGCCGTGCTCTGTCTCGGGTGATCTGCAAGCCAAGATAGCTACGCGGCTCATTGTGCACGTGTGTCTCTTCTGCAGCTCCGACTTCACAAGGGCCAGTGCCTCAGTGTCAGAAGTGGCAAAAACCAAGTCGTCGACGTACACGAGGATATAGAACGGCGGCAGCGAAGTGTCGGTGCACAGAAACAGCGACGGGTCTGCAGTCGAAGGAGCAAACCCAAGAGCCGCAAGTGTCATCCTCAGTGTGTCGTGCCACTCACAAGGCGCCTGGCGGAGACCGTAGACTGGCCGCCGGAGGCTCCACTGGGTACCTGCACGAAATGACCCAATGGGCGGCGCATCCAGATCTCCTCGTGCAGGCTGCCCTATAAGAAAGCTGTGCTGAAGTTAAGAGAGTGAAGCTCGTAGTCACGTTGAGCGGCAACGTGCAGCAGCACCCGAAGAGTGGTCATCTTCGGGGTAGGTCTGGAAGAAGTCAACTCCCTCTCGCTGACTGAAGCCTCGTGCAACGTAACGAGCCTTGAAGACAGGCGGAGAACCCGGCGGCCGCTTCACCCTGAAAATCCACATGCCATCGACTATGTTCGCCCTAGGAGGGGGAACTGCGTCGACGTAAGTGCCTGTGAAATTCAACGATGCCATCTCTGCGTCCATGGCTGTCTGCCACTTAGAGGAGTAGGGACCCGAAATCGCCTCTGCGTAAGAGCGCGGGTTCGGGATGTCTAGTGCATCTGGGTCTCCCTCAGGGGCAAGCAGCATGGCCACGAGATGAGGTACAGCAGCTGCAAGACACTCAAAGTCCTCCTGCCTGTCCTCAAGGACGTCCGTGCCAAGAACACACTCACCCCCGACGGACGGAGGACAGACAGACACAGACTCAGCAATAAGACTAGCGGCATAGTCAAGACGACAAGCTGTAGCAAAGTCAACAAGCTCAGCGACTAAGGTAGACGCAGCAGTGGACTCAAACGAAGGGTCAGTGACAACAGTGGCTAGGAGACGCGTGACAGTAGGGCTGGCAGCACGAACTAGGTCGGACGGCGGGTCCGGAACGTGCGGAAGAGAGGACGCAGGAGGAGACGGCAGGGGAACACGCTGTGGAACAGAGGAAGGACGAAGTGTCATAGTGTGAGTGCCAGGGACAGGAGGAGGACGCGGACGAGGAACACGGCAGCTAGTACGAACAGCGCAAACAGGTGAGGCAGGACGAGACGCAGGCTCACGACGCTCTGTAAGTGAGTCTGTCTACTCAGGGTAAGGAAAAGGAGCAGGCAGTGAAGAGCATGGCTGTAACAGGAGGCCAGTAGAAGACGGGAGGCTAAGAACCTGGCGAAGCACGGAGTCAGGCGGTGGCAGAGACGACGGCGCCGGCGGAGCGAAGAACAGTCGCCGCTGTGCAGTACCACCAGCTCCAGCTCCTCCAGCACCAACACCTCTAGCTCCAGCGCCTCCAACACCGGCACCTCCAGCACCAGTGCCTCCAGCTGCTGTGCCTCCAGCTCCAGTGCCTCCAGCGCCAGCACCTCCAGCGCCAGTGCCTGTAGCACCACCAGCTCCGGCAGCTCCAGTACCTCCAGGACGAGCACCTCCGGGACCAGCAGCGCCAGCACCTCCAGCTCCAGCAGCACCACCACCAGTCCTGGCAGCTCCAGTACCTCCAGTACGAGCACCTCCAGGACCAGCAGCTCTAGCTCCTCCGGTACCTCGAGCTCCAGCGTCTCCTGCTCCAGAGCCTCCAACTCTAGTGCCTCCAGCGCCGGCGCCTCCTGCGGCAGAGCCTCCAGCTCCAGCAGCGCCACTCCGAAGGCGGGTGCGCCGAGCAAACCACTCACGCAGCCGTTGTGGTGAGAGAAGCTCTTTCCGACAAGACTGTAGTGGCGAGTCACCTGTAGGAACTCCAGGACTAGTAGCTCCAAAACCCCCAGTACCTCGAGCTCTAGCGCCTCCAACGCTAGTGCCTCCCATGTCAATGCCTCCAGCGGCAGGGCCTCCAGCTCCAGCAGCGCCACTCCGAAGGCGGGTGCGCCGAGCGTACCACTCGCGCAGCTGCTGTGGTGAGAGAGGCTCTCACCGGCTAGACTGCTGTGGCGAGGCACCCGGTAGGACCTCCAGGACTAGTAGCTCCAGGGCCTCCAGCTCTAGCAGCGCCACTCCGAAGGCGGATGCACCGAGCGTACCACTCGCGCAGCTGCTATGGTGAGAGAGGCTCCTGTAGTGTAGACGCAGTACCCCTAGGCTCAGCACCCCCAAACTCAGCACCCTCAAGCTCCGCACCCGTAGGCTTAGCACCCCCAGTCTCCGCACGCTCAGGCTTATCACCTCCAGACGCAGCACCCCGAGCAGCACCACCCCCAGCAGCACCAGAGTCACCAGTGACCTCGACAGGCTCAACCAAGGGGAGTGGGTCTACCTGAGACACACCTATAGGAGTAGGACCCTGAGGGGGGAAGGGGTCTATCGAAGGGGGACCTGGAGCGAGGAAGAGCGGCGGGGGGGGGAGAGGGGCAGTGCGGTAGGGGAAGAGACGGTAAAAGGGAACCGACTCGTTAGAAGTGACGTCCTGAGAGGATATGACACGGCGCGTGGTTGGGTGGTAAAACTGCCAGCCAGGCGCGTTAGTGGGAAAGCCAAAGAAGATACAGGGAATGGCGCGGGAGGAGAGCTTGTCCGCAGAGGTATCACGGACAAAGGTACGAGAGCCCCTGGGTTTAGCCCGTCCAACGATTGTAGGCGAGGTCTCCGGCAAGGAGACACGGAGCCAGAGGTTGAGCTGATGCGCAGCGTACCGAACCGCAAACGGCCACGGAAAATTGGGAGCAGCCGCATGGATCATGGAGGTACGAGCCACCTCCATGACTAGGCCAATGCGGCGCTTAGCAACCCCATTCTGCTGCGGGGAGGCTGGAAGCGTGAACGACTTGCGGATGCCCTCCCCACGACAAAAGTCCCGCAAGAGGTCGGAGGAGAACTCATCACCTCTGTCAGAGTGCAGACGCAGGACAGGAAGGTCCGTGTGGAACCGCTCGCGGAGCTGGAGACGAACAGCGCAGATCAAAACATCAGGGACCTCCCCCTTGCTACGCAAGGGGAAGACCGTGGTGTAACGCGTGTAGTCGTCAACAACCAGCAGATAGTAGGGCCCCACACATCCATGTGGAGCGTCTGCAAGGGAGCAGTCGTTGGGGGAAACGAGGAGGAGTGAGGAGCGGCGCGCTGCCGCCCCTCGACGCAAGGAAGGCAGGGCGGGGCAGGCGAGCGCGGGAGGGCAGGCAGAGACCTGGGAAGGCCAGAGACAAGGAGGCGGGAGTGCATGCCACGGAGGCGTGGCAGGGAGGGGTGACCAAGGCGGTGGTGCGAGAGGAGAGTCTGGTGCAAAAGAAGGTGACACAAACAAGGGGCTGATAGCTGACCTGACGCAGACACCTGACCAGACGCAGCGACCTGAGGAGGCTTAGTAGTCAGTGTGTACAGGCTCGACCCAGGCCGACAGGTGAACGTGGCCAGATGACGGCCCATCCGTGCATGTGCAAATCGCCACACGGTCTCCTCTAGGGGTAAAGGTATCAACCCAAGCATCCTGAAGGACGGCGTTACTCACCAAGTTCGTAGAGAACGAGAGGAGGTGAAGACCAATCAGTGAGCCAGACGGAATCGCCGGACATGGGAGAAAAGTGGAGGAACGTGCAAAAACTGTGCCCCCGGAGGGGTCAGCCAGAGAGACTGCAACAGGTGCAGGGAGTGGTGTGACTGTGGTACTGTCGCGAAAGAAGCAGCGGGAAGCACCTGAGTCAAGCGTGAAGGTGTGCAAGGCCTCAGCAAGCGCAGTACCATAAAGAGCAAACTCACTAGCACCTAGAGCAGCAGCCTCTATACCTGGGTCAGGCGGCACACACAGGTAACAGTCACCCTCAGTACCAACAGTCAAAGCATACATGGCAGTAAGGATAGCGTTGTAGTCTAGAGCAAATTTATCCACATCATTCCGAAGCAGCTCTAGCCAGTGGGGGAGCTCAGCCTCGTCGCCAAACTCTGCGCGCCAGGCGTCGCTCAGACAGGAGAAGCAGCGGGACTGTGTGTGACCAACTGTCACGCAAGTCTGACCAGCACGATCACCCGTGTGAATGACGTACGGGCAGCGAGCATTACTCCGAGACGCCCCACGCTGAGCGTACCACTCACGAAGCTGCTGGGGTGTAAGGGTCTCGCGCGGACGCCGCTGTAGCTGCATCTGGCCACCGCCAGAAACTCCCCACTGAACAGCTCCACCACGACTCCCACTACGGCCGCCGCCACCACTCCCACTGTTGCAACCACCACCGCCACCACTCCCAACGCTGCCACGAAGAGAAGTCATAGCGGACAAAGCAAGGAGGTGTGCGACCAGTAGGGCAGCACGCAGGGAAGGCAGGGCAGCGACCAGGCACTAGGGTAGGGCGGGGCGGCGAACGGTTAGGGAAGGGCGGCGCGCGGCCAGAGCAGGGCGGAGCGCTGCAAGTAGGGCGGCGCGCGGGCAGGGGAGGGCGCGCGGGCAGACAAGGGGCAGCGCGCGGGCTGCAAAGGGCGGCGCGCAGGCTGCCAGGGGTGATGTGCGAGCTGCAAGGGCGGCGCGTGGCCAGGAAAGGGCAGCGTGCCGGCTGCAAAGGGCGGCGTGCGGGCTGCAAGGGCGGCGCGCGGGCTGCTAGGGACAGGGCGTACGAGCGACGCGGCGGGCTGGGGCAGCCTGCACGGGCGGCGCGATGGGCATGGGCAGGGCGGACGGGCGACGCGACGGGCTGGGGCAGCCCGCGCGGGCGACGCGACGGGCAGGGGCAAGGCGTACGCGCGACGTGGCGGGCTGGGGCAGCCCGCACGGGCGACGCGACGGGCAGGGGCAGGGCACACGGGTGACGCGACAGGCTGGGGCAGCCCGCACGAGCGACGCAACGGGTAGCAGGGACGCACGGGCGACGCGTCGCAACGGGCAGCAGGGGCGCGCGACGCGACGGGCAGCAGGGGCAGGGCGGCGTGACGGAGGGCAGGGCGTGCGCGAGCAGCGCAACGCGGGGCAGGGCTTGCGCGGAGCGGTGCAACGCAGGGAAGGGCAGAGCGCACGCTAGGCAGTGCAACACAGGGCAGGGCAGAGCGCACGCTAGGCAGCGCGACGCAGGGCAGGGCGTGCGCGGGGCGGCGCAACGCAGGGCAGGGCAGAGCGCGGCAGCCAGCAGGGCGGCGCACGGGCAGAGGAGCTCGACTGGTGGGGCAGCGCAACGGACAGGGTAGGGCGATACAGGCAGGGTAACGCGCTACGGGCAGGGAACTGTACGGTGGGCCCTAAAAAAAACGGTCCTGGAACAGGACCTGCTCTGAAACTAAGTCAGAAGACTAAGCGAGAATGGATGCATTACATAGGAATGTGGTACAAATATGGCAAACCCTAATTGGGTTGTACCCCTTATAGGCTACCCCACTACAGCCTACACAGCAAGAACATCATGATAGTTTGACAAAAACAACCAAATTCGAACTAGCGAAGCAATAAACAAGCAACGCATAAATTACAAAACGAAACAATACCTACATGGCCACCACGGCGCTGAATTGTCTTTGCAGGTGTTGAAAGAATGGTTGGAGGAGCATCTTGCGCTATACGCTTCTTGTTGTTATTAACAAATTTGCCGTGCCCTCCTATGGAACGAATGGCAAAAAAAAATCCGTTCGGATGTTAGTAGGAAATAAATTATAATATATCAGATAGCACGTTTAAGTAACGTAGTTGCGTACGATCGTTCTTAATGGTTTTGCGCTACACAATGTGTTACTTACATTTTGTCAGAATCCCAGCCACTAACCACTGGGATAAAAGGGCTTGTTATAGTAGCGGGTGAGTGCGCCCATAACCCCCCAGGCCGACGTGCCTGTAACCCTCCCCTAGGATCAATCGGGGATCACCAGTGGACCTCTGACACCCCCCCGCACTGGGATGCCCGAGGCGCACACACCGGGATTCGAACCCGAGACCTTCGCTCTGATAACATGTCAGAATCCCAGCCACTAACCACTGGGATAAAAGGGCTTGTTTGTGTAGCGGGTGAGTGCGCCCATAACCCCCCAGGCCAACGTGCCTGTAACCCTTCCCTAGGATCAATCGGGGATCACCAGTGGACCTCTGACATATTTAAGTAAATGAGAGAGTTTGCCTCTATCGTAATCATGATGTAATAACTAGACCACAATTTTCTCTATGTTCTATATTTGATTCATGTATAGTTCACTTCCAATTCCGCCTATTTCATCATATAGTGTACGTAACTTTAAGTATATTTCGTTACGATATTTGTTTTTTGAAAACTTCTCTGAAGAGTCAATAACTTCATACAGAGAAGTGGTAAAAGAGATGGAACGTCTACATAAGATAAACGTACCTAGTATTCCGGTCCCCGTTGACGTAATTGCATTATATCCCGCACGTGAAAAATTCGCGTTCCATAATGTTTGCAAGTTCAGACTGGTGACATAAAATGCATGAAATTCTTTGATTTCATGGTGTTACTTGAGACGCACCTTTCGCATAAGCAATCACATGGTGATGCTCTGAATGATTTTTCCCTATTTTGTCACTTTCTAATTTTGGTGGCATGCTTGTTGCCTTTAATGGTAAACGCATCTCACTTTTTTACCATGAGTTATACAACAAAATTTAGTTTATTATTTTGAAGTGCACAATGCCAAACATTGTCGCAATATCTGTTTATCGTAACTCACGTTCATCTCAAGCATCCTTCTATTCATCATTAGAAACAATGCTCGATGCAATCCCTTTGAATGGACACATCATAATGGACAGTGATATCAATTTCGATGCCAAAGTATCCATGCCAAAGCGTTTGATCCAATTAATGGAGAATGCAAAGTTTACTCTATGCGAGCAATCATCTACTACCGTATGGAATACCCTTATCGATTAGATTTGGCTTGATGTTGCTAAA